AATACTAGAAAAATGTATTTTTCATCCTTAAACTTTGTATAAACGCAATTGTCCTCTATATTTTCTTGAAACCTAAACTTTCTTATTGTACTATCAAACTTTAAATACCACTGGCTTGAAGCTTGTTTTAATCCGTAAATGGACTTCTTCAGGCGGCATCCCATATGTTCTTTTCCTTCCACAACAAAACCTTTCGGTTGTGCCATATAAATATTTTCCTCCAGATTCCCATTTAGGAATGCCGTCTTTACATCCATCTGATGTAATTCTAAATCGTAATGTGCTACAAGCGCTATTATGATTCTAAAAGAATCCTTACATGAGACTGGAGAAAAATGTCTCATTGTAATCTATATCTTCTCTTTGCGTGAAGCCTTTCGCCACAAGTCGCGCTTTGAATCTTTCTATATTCTCTTTGGAGTCATGTTTAGTTTTGTAGACCCATTTATAGCCTACTGTCTTGGCTCCTTTAGGAATTATTTCTAAGTCCCAAACATGATTGGTTTTCATTGATTTCATTTCATCTTCCATGGCTTCAAGCCACTTGGATGAGTGAGCGCTTCTCATGGCTTCTTCAAATGAGGTGGGATCACCCTCCATCGCTCTCTCCCCGAACCCTAGGTTCATTTGTTTCCCTCCCCTTCCTCTCTTAGCGCAGCGAGCAGCAAGCACCGAGCGAAGGCGAGAGTTGATGGCGCCATCGCCGGCCCCCTCACCGGCACGCTCTCCCAGCGGGTGAGCGCGCCGCCGTCGAGCGGCCTAGCCGTGGTGCCCTTGACCAGAGCTCATGCAAGCCCGACAAGCAGCAGCGGTTCGGCCTTCTTCTCATGCACCGACGAGATGGCAACGCGGTGCAGCGGCGAGGTAAGCCGTCTCCCAAGCCCTTCCCCTTTCCTCTTCTTCTCTCGCTTGGATCTCGCTCTATTTTTCTCGGATCTTGTCCGATTGGGGTTAGGGTTAGGGTTAGGTCAAGTTTGGGTTAGGGTTTGAGTACTGTTCTTCTTCCTCGAGCTTTCTACGTGGGTTAGGGTTAGGGTTTGTTTTCCTTTTCAAAACCAAGACCCTTTCTTACTCCTTTTCTTCACTCGATTTGGGTTTAGGGTTCGATGAACCCTCTGTTTAGATCCAAAAACGGATCTATCACCTCCTTCTAATGCTGCTACTCGGTTTTCTACTTCGATAGGCTAGATCTACGCCTAGTTAGGTGACTGATACCATTGATAGAAACGTTATAGGATCACTAGCCACAGATCTAGCATACCTACTTACATTTGATGAAGTATAAACCCTAAAACATGTACTAGTATGGAATTAATAGAGAGAGAGCGGGATGTGGGTAGCAAACCATCGTCCGCCTTCGCAGAAGACGAGCTGGCCATCGCGGTGCTCGGTGGAGACTCGATGTAGGTGCGGCGGTGAAAAGGCGGCGGTGCAGTGGTGGCGTTGGCGATGGCGGTGCTTCCCGTCGCTAGGCAACGCCTCCTCACTTAGATCGGTTAGGGTTTAGAGAATGTAGGTGGGGCGTCTGATGGCTCAAGTGAACCTCGTGCCTTATGCCCCGGCCCCCACCTCCTCTTTTTTATGGCGTTGTGCGATGGGGGCCCACCAACCATGGAACGGTTGGGCACCCTCGATCAGGGCACGATCCAATGGCCCAATTGGTAGTTGGACCAATTGGTGGAGATCATCTAACAACAACCTCTCTCCAAACCAACCTTCTACATGGTGCCGACGACAATGGGGCTGAAGTGTCTGGCGGTGGCGGCAATGAGGCAGACCACCATCACAATATCTACAATGGTCGTACAAGATGCAATGCCTGTCGCCGTGCGGGAGGCCAAGACCATGACGAAGGCTACTACGCTACCACCAGGGTCCCGACAACAACGGCATGTCGACAGAGATCACTAGGGATGGAGTGCCTGAAGAGGTCGATAGGAGGCGGTAGAGCTGCTTGGTCGATGCCGCCACCGCCATGCTCAAGGCCAAGGAAAAGTCAACAGTTGGCGGCGCCTTTAAAAGTCGATCCTGCTCCACTTCCCATGCTCATTGAAGTGAGATACGGGAAACTCAAAGAGATGTCTAAGAATATTTGGATGCAGGGGCTAAAGTTTAGTCTCTGTCACATTGAATACTTGGGATTAAAGAGAGGACGGAGAGAAGAGAGGGAGGAACAAAAGAGGCAATCCAATCAATTCACTGCCTATTAGCTAACGGATCCAAATAATCATAGGTAAAAATAGTTAAATAGCTAATGGTAGATAAGAGCTGTAAGCCAGCTAACTATTAGCTACTAAGAGCATCTCCATATAACCGCACAATTACTCATCATATCTGTATAAAACTGTCATAAGGGATTATGCTTTTTCCTTACTCAAGGGATCTCTAATAGACACTCTCTTTTTTGTGGCTACCACTGCTAATATCTCTCTCATCTCTACTAAAATAAAACGGTCTTGCTAGCATCTAGACGTCTAGACGGACGGGACATTCGGACGCCTGCGCCTACAGCCGTTTCCCATGCCCACACGGGCCCACGCCGCCCCCGAACGTCACCAGCATCGAGAAGAGGGGGAGGGGGGCGCGACGGATGCTAGCCGGCGCTGGGAGGATGAGACACCGAGACGAGACAACCAAAAGAGAGGAGAGAGAGATGCAACACCCGATCTATTTTTGAAACATCTAGATGCAACACTTGCAACATATGTCTGAAGACAGGTGAAACACTTAAAACATGCATCTAAAACACTTGCAAAACACATCTAAAAACACTTGAAAACTATTGCAAAATATACGCAACATCCAAATAAAACACTTACAACATATGTATGAAACATATGCAACATACAAATAAACACACTCGCAACAGATGTCTGAAAAACAGGTGAAACATTGGGAACAAAAGATTATAACATACGTGTACAACCATTGCAACATATACAACATTTCGATCTACTTTTGCAACATCAATATGAAACACTTGCAATATATCTCTCAAACATCCGAAACACTTAAAACGGATGCTTACAACATGCACTTGACGAAAATGGAGGCTCGTTGACACGAGCTCGACGCCGATATGGAGCTCAATGCCACAGAGGTCACCGGTGTGGAGCTCGTCAGAAGCACGGACCTCGGCAAGGGCCATGGCAAACCTTCGTGAAGGGGCGCGAGTCCGAAGCGGGAGCAGGATTCCGTGTGGCGGGAGCGCGCGGTCCGTCCCCATGAGAAGCGAGCAGCCGCAGCAGCGAAAGGCGAATGCGGCGCGGGCAAGGGCGGGGTTCATCCTGCGAACAAGGGGCGCAACGTGCAGAGTGAGCGGGCGACGCGACCGGGTTCCGTCTTGACGGACGGACGCCCCTATAGTCTATAGAGAGCATTAACGAAAATAAAAAGAGAGTTATATCTCCCTTACCCGCCCGAGTTTCCAGCCTTCCTTTCTCCCATGCGCCAACATGCGTTCGTCGCTAGCCGCCACGTGCATGCATTGCCCTAGTGCACTTTGGTCGATGCCACCACTGGCGTCGAGGCGGCTGGCATTGGTGGCGCGTGCCTCCGCCGCTGCTCCCGCCGTGGGCTCAAAAGCACCCGCCTGCAGCCGTCACATCTACTGCGTGTCCCGCCGCCATCTTTGTGTCCGCGGTCATCGTCGACTCCCACTTGCACCATTGCAGCACCAGCGCCCACACCGACGAGCACATCTTCTTGTCCTCATCCACCTCTTCGAGCTTGTCGTTTTCTTCTTCCTCTTCTTCTCTCCTACGCAGCTACCGCTCCTCGTCTCGCTATCCTCATCCACCTTCCAACGGAAGGCGAAGGCATAGAGGGCGACAACTTCTCCGACTTGCAGGGAGACAAGGACGCGGTGATATTTGCTGCAACAACGGCGAGGGCGTCCCTAGTCAGCTAGGGCCATGGCACCAATCTCGGGGCAAGGAACCAAATAGGTGAGCGACGTTGTGCGGGTGCGGTTCCACGGCACAGGCCGATAGCACATCAGGACCGGCTTGGATCCAGTACGTATAGACGAGAGAGATAAGGCCAGTCTTCATGGTGTCTTCATGTCACAATTTCGTCTTCATGTTGCAGTTCCAAGATTATCATGTTGAAAATAGTGTAAACAAGTTTCATTTCTATAAAACTTATTTCATCCTATGAAATTTTCAAAATTTCTCTCATCATCTATACCATCATCTCTCTCTTCATCTATACTACGTCATGTCAATTTATTTAATGCCTATGAACTTTATAAACCCATTAATACTGGCCTAAAGAAGAGGAAAGAAAAAGGAAAAAAAAATTGAAGGCAACCCAATATGCCCGACGGGTGTTTGGGGATATATTAAGGAACTACTACAACAACTCCAACAATCACACAAATAATATTGAGCTACTCCAATACTTGCATATTGAAGTGGATTATTGGGGACTGCTCAAGGTCCTCTAATGGATCAAACAAGGCCTAAGCCCCATCGATACATATAGAAGAATTAGGCCTCCCTTGGAAAACAGGAATAGTACAGGATTTTCAGAGGAATCAGTTCATATTTTCACATAAAAAACACAGGAAACATGGAAATTTCCAGGGTTCCAAAGGGGGCTTTGAACGAACAATTCAAATATTATATACAGATAACCCACATATGGACCACGACTACCCACTAATACCCCACAGTAAGAACCATGAATATTGGGCATGAGCAAGGAGGCTTCATCCGAAACAATCACAAACAGACGAGAGGCAGTTCGTCCAATTGTCCGGCAATCATATTGCAACAAGATAATGTCCTCACAACACCTAGATATATCAGACATAAATAAGATGCAATCTGATCTCACACTACTGGCATACAGAGAATAATCCGTTGCTGATACATCAACATGCAGGTTCATAAGATTATCGGCTTCCAGCTTGGCTGCAGACGACTCAGAGGGAAGGGGGGCATACATGAGAGCAATCAGATGCAGGCATGCAAGGTTGATTGCATCGGCTGCGCCAATCACCCAGACTTGAATAGCAAGACAGCTTTAGAGTCAATGTAGAAATATACAAAGTAGTTTGTCTCATGCGTCACGTAAGAACCTGCATCATGGACAAAAAATGCTTAGCAAAATTGTTGACATTCAATATGTACATCATGGGTGATGATAAATGGAAGGGGTTCATAAGTGAATTCCAATCCCACATGCTTTTCTTGAGCTCAGTTTTTCATTCCCAAGATAATGCATATAGCACTGAACTGAAGTTCAGTAATCATCGTAAACATATATACTCCAAAACAAAAGCATTCTAGGAGGATAGAGCTTGTTTGGAGGGTCACCCATGGGCTCATACGAGACAAACTGAAAATAAAGGAACTAGATGTTTTCAACATAGAGTAACAAATCAAATCAGTTTCACAAAGACTCTGGCAGCACTGGCCATTGTTAGAGACATGAGGAGGCTGCTTGGAACCTTTGCTCACCTTGCCTTGCCTACCAAGCCTCGACTCACCTCACTCGGCAAAGCAAGATGGGTTTGCTTTCCCTTGCTCTCCTGTTCCTCTCTTCTACATGCATACCGTGAGGTCATGGAACGACTGGCACCTGGAGGCCCTCCATACGATAGCCAGAAGCTCACTTTCAGTCCATCCAAGTCAATCCCACTTGATTTGAGGCAAGAAGCAAGGAGAAACTGAATCCACGTGAGCAAGATCTCGGCTGAATAGTCATTTTGGCCGGCGCGGAACTCGATTGGACTCGCAAGGACCTTGATCTGGGTGTGAAAATAGTTCAATTTGAAGGCCAGCAAGCAGATTTGGGGCAGCATGGTGTTCCAAAGGGTAGCTCGAAGCGCGCGTTGCTGAGAGGGACGATGAACACGCGAGCCAGCGAGACCTTGCTTGTTCAGGAGAGCCAAATCAGCTCTCTTCCGCGGGCAAGGAAAACCTTGCTGACCTGGGCAAGGTAGTTGAGCAAAGCCAGATTTCTCAACCCTACCAAACAACTAACCTTACTCAACAAGGCGAGGCGAGCTGTGGCAAGGAAACCAAGCAGCCCCGAGATGTAGACATTGTAATCAAGATGATATATAAACGTTTACCAAAGACAAAAGGATATAGCGTGGCTGTCACTCTCTTAACTATCATCTAACTGGATAATTGATTATCTTTGAACTACGAGAAGCAATTAAAGATAAGATTTCTCCTAAAGTTATATCCTAAGACTCCCTCCAGCCCAGTTTATAAGGCGCACAAGCATATCAAGATTCAAACTTCAGTCTTTGACAAATAATTTGGCCAACAGTTTTTAACTATTGTAATACAAACTTGATACAGTTAAATTTATAATCAAATATACTATCAAATGATTATAATTTTATAATCATAAAAAAATATAATATACAATAAATAAATGGTCATTGGTTAAACTGAAATTTGTATGACCGTGCCATGTGTGACTGCGCCTTAGAAATTATAATAGAGTTGAATAGAAACATCTGGAACTTCTTGTTGTTGTTGTTGTTGTTGTTGTAGAAACATCTGGAACTTAAGACAGCTCTTCATTTGAGTCTTATAATTAGTTTGAGGTAGAATCAATCAAGTCAAATAGGATCATCTGGAAATTAAAACACCTCAAGTAGTTTGTGAAACAGAATTAGTCAAGTCCAAGAGAAAGATGTCGAAGTTAAGAAAACAGCTTGCCATTGAGTCTTAAGATTAGCTTGTGACACAGAATGAGTCAGTTGTGATTGTATGCCATTCTCTGTACTTGTCGGCCCTCCTTTTTTATGCATAAAAGAAAACTGAAGTGTTTGCTAAAGCTCAGAATAATAAATGGTCACCAAATTGAGAGAGAAAACAAATACAACAGAATTAGTAAATTAGCAAAAAGGTTGGGAATTCCAATACTGCAACAACATCCTTTTGTTTCTATGCCATTAATCAAGAAAACCTTTTTCTAATATCGCCACTACTTTCAGTGTTAAAACATGTTTTCATTTAAGAGGGGCATTCAGGCGTTTTCCTTTGGTTCAATCTTTCCAGCCTTGTCCGAGCAGCAACACTCATCGGAATGGGTAACATGTGGCACTATCCAATTATGAGAAGTCCACTGGCACAATCAAATTTCACTAGCAGCTGCTGGTATGGAAGAAAAAATCCTACCATAAACGATTTCCGGTGATGGCTCTATTATAACAAATTAATGTAGCCTTCATGGTCAAATTTCACTAAAAGGCTTGCCTCGGTTTTTCCTTTCCCAAACCCCACTTATGTGGGAGCCTCCGGCACTGGGTCTGCCCCCCTTCATGGAGGGAGGGAGAAGTGATATGTTATGGGCAACCAGGATGCCGTCCCAGCCCTTTTATCACATGCAACAGAGGAAGATAGAATTAGCCAGAGATAGAATTAGATATGGGTTATTAGGATCAGGTTGCTTAGATACTAAGCTAGGTGAGTTTGTTAGGGTCGTGACTTGCCCACTAAAAGAGGCAGCCTGCAACACATGAGAACCAATCAAGAAACAAGTACATAAGTCCTTTTCCAATCCATGATCTGGTCACCGTCTAAGCTGACTCCGCCTGGCTATCTTCCTGGCTGTGTTTACCATTGATGAACTATTGTTCAAAACAAGATATGTTTTACTTGCTTTGCACGACATAGAAGTTGCAGAGAAAGGCCCTATTAGGTGTCCAGGCATGCTTAAACATTTACAATAATAATAAAAATATATGTTATCATGACTGAGAAGAAGCTATAAACAAACGAATGCTACACATATATATCTATTTGCCTATAGAAGAATATGAACACAGGTGGCATGACATAGCAGGCAGAATTTTGGCTGGTCTCAAATTGTTAACATATGCCTGACATAACTTCCATTCATAAAATAGGCTGCCTTATAAATACAAATAACAATAAGAAAATCACAGGAAATTTGGAGAAAAGGAATTACAACGATAAGTCCAAGATAGAACATTTTGTAGAAAAAAGAATACAAACATAGACAGCAAAAAGTTCTGTTTGATAAGAACATAGACCCACATAATCACATGAGAGATAAATAATTGCTTCAATGTTCAAAGTGTTTTTTTTTTACAATCTAGTACTGACAATTGTTCTCTTAGATCATGTTCACAACTTGGCCGTGCCAATCGCAGATTGCAGTAGAGGTTGCTAAACTTCCCTCATTGCACACCAAATGCTGGGGAGTTTTTGACGTGAATAAATGATGTGGCATGCCACATGGATTCTTTGAGAGGACAAGACGACAACAACAACAACAACAACAACAACAACAACAACAACAAAGCCTTTAAGTCCCAAACAAGTTGGGGTAGACTAGAGTTGAAACCCAGCAGAAGCAATCAAGGTTCAGGCACGTGAATAGCTGTTTTCCAAGCACTCCTATCTAAGGCTAAGTCTTTGGGTATATTCCATCCTTTCAAGTCTCCTTTTATTGCCTCTACCCAAGTCAACTCTGAGAGGACAAGACACTTCAAAATATTGGGGTGACACGACATACCCAGTCAATTGGGAGTCTACATAAAATGGCATACCATTTCTTCAACGATTACAGATATAGTAAGGTCACAGCAAGCTAAGGAGCTATCAAAGTAAAGTGCGTGTTACTAACTTAACCAAACAGCTTAGATTCATACAACAAAGAGTGAATAGAAAGTTGAAATACGTCAACTAGACATGCAATAAATTGAACGATAGCTTGCTAAGTTGGATTTGGTTGATACCAAGAGTAAATTTCAGAATTTAGACCAAGCCAGAAGCAAGGAGGTAAAGCTCACAATAGAGCAATTAGACATAGTCGTGCATACCCTGTCCACACTCCCTGAAACTATACTTCATCCAGAGCTGTATAGGGGCTCTATTGGACTAAGTACATACTCCATAGATCATGACCATTAGAACATTCCCTTCAAATTTGAAGAATAACTTCAGTTGATCAGTAACCATTTCAACTTCTTCCCTTTCCCAAGTTCATTGCCTTTTTTTAATATATTTTAGAAAAAAGTGTTTCCTGTGGCTTCTATTGCCCTACAAGATCCATTCTTCTATCAATCATGTGGGAACCTCTATGAGCTAGCACGTATGAAATTGACCACAGAGAATATCCAACGACGAAAGCATATCAGACTAGACATCAACCGCAACTGGCGCAATCATTCAATATCCGTACTAATTAAGGAGGGGTTCCCATAAAGGGGTTGGTAGGAGAGCATTACCGAAGTTGCGGCCGACGATGCAGTGCCAGGTTGGGCCGTGGTTCTTGTCGAACTCCTTCTTTATGTACTCCGCGATGTCCTTCTCCATGCTGTGCTTCTCGAACGCCTGACCGACAGGGAAGGAATCGACAGAGGAAAAAAAATTTTTTTTTCCCCAAATCCCAAGGAACAACCCGTCAACAAGGGCGGAGCGACGAAAACCAAATCGAGCGCAGGAAGAGATGGCAGAGAGAGGGCGTAAGTCTCTTACGATGCGCGCAATTTCGAAGGCCTCCTGCCGCATCTCCTCCTTCATGTCGGCGCTCTTGAGATGGATCTTGTGCGCCACCGCCGCCGCGGCCGCAGCCGGCGGCGGGGACCCCGCGCCCACCGGCTTGCGGTCCTCGGAGGAGGCCCGGATCACCGCCTGCGCGGCGCCCGCGGGCCCGCGCCTGGCCTCGTCGGACATTCTTGGGGGCGGATGGAGCGGAGCTGCCGGGCACGCTTCTCCCTCTCGAGGAATCCTCTAGCTTTTTGAAAGGCGACGGTGGGCGAGGGCGTTGGAGCGGAATCTGTCTAGTGTTTACAGACTACAGCAGAGAAGACGGAAGAGAAGGTGAAGCTGGAAGCGTTGTGGTGGGCTGGTGGCCGTGTGGGCCTAGGCCTAGGCCCTAGGGCTAAAGCCCGGCCGCCACGAGGTTTGTAACGCAAGTTTTTTTTTCTTCCAAAAAAATAAAGACTGACTACACATCTTCTAGGAGATTTTTTGTTTGTTGTCTTCCATTTTTTCAGCAAATCAAAAGTTGCCATGTAACATGTCACACAAGACTAACAAAACAATGAAAATACCCCATGTATACATACCATGACAGCTTCTGGAAGATTTTGATGTTTGTTATCTTCCACTTTTAGAAAATGAAAATGTGCCACGTCAAGGAATAAAAAAATACAGCACAGCTACAGCACACAGCGCATATAGAAAATCAAAATCTGGAATGAAGAAATAAAAAAATGTACAGCACGTATAATGTGCCACGTCAAGAAATAAAAAAAAAATACAGCACAGCTACAGCCACAGATACAGCAAACAACACGTATAGAAAATCAAAATCTGAAATGAAGAAATAATAATAAAAAATTTACAGCACGTATGCAGACCACAGCACGTATATTCGAAATGAATGCTTGGCAAGAATTGGTTTAAATAAAATGAAAAACCATGACCAATCCGTCACCCATATTTCAATCAAATTTTAGTTCACCTATTTATGTGTCACAGGGACATATAAATAGAAAAATAAGTCTTTTTTTCATTAACACGTCAAGGTTGGCATATTTAATTTGCACAAGATATGGATCCAGTCTTATTATGCTGAATATCCAGGTAATTTGTGCCAAGCTACCAGCTGTCAGCCGGTCATCACATTACCAGGGTATCAAAGGAATTAACTGCAGTATTCATTAACCTGAAACATAGAACCCAAAAAAAGGCAAAGAGAAAGGACTGAACAAGAGAGCAAGGCCTGCAGAAACCAAGCAAAACCATGGCATCGTTTATGCATCTCAATGGAGCCTGTGGAAATGCAGAAATCTGCAGTTTGGTATTCGCAACCATTGCAGAAATCATCAACTGCTAACCCTGGCACTCATCGGCGACCACTGCAGCCGCTGCCGCTTCCGCAGACAACACCGCCACCACCGCAACCGCCGCCGCCACAGGCAGCTCCGCCGCTGCCGACAACGCCGGCGCCAACAGCTCCGCCGCTGCAGACAGCTACGCCGCCAACAGCACCGCCACCGCTGCAACCGCCACCACCGCAGATAGATCCGCCACCACCGCCACCGTAGACAGCACCGCTACCGCCGACAGCTCCGCCGCCGGCGGCAATGTCGCAGCCGCCGTCGACACCTCTGGGAATACGAACTTCGAACTGAACCAGCGGTACCAAACGATAGCAGGCAGCAGCACAACCTAAGTGGGCCGGAAGAACAGAAGCCACAAGCCCATTATTATTTAGCCAAGCCTGTACACAAAAAACACAAATCTTAATGAAGATCTGAACCACACAAAAGTGGAAGAAAACAACACAAGAAATCTGCTGGCAGATATTTAGAAATTCCGAAAAAGTTGCTGAAATTTTGAGTGGAACCGTTTCTGTTTTTAAGAAAAAACGAATCGTATTTCAAATCAGGCCTAAAATTAAATCTAACAGTAATGCAACCCGTCTTACGTCTAACACGAGCAAATTGTGGGACGCTCCCGCACGCCCACCACCTCGTTGCTTACGTTTTTACCGCGCCACTCGCTCTGTCTGCGAGTTCATTAAAATAAAAATCACCCATCCGTATCCCTTCCGCTTCCTCCTCCCCTGTCGCATTGCCTTGCGGCTGCCCCGTCCTGGACGTGGACGCATACTCCCCGCGCTGCTGCCATGCGCCCCATCCGCCGCCGCTCGATCACGCCCCGACGCGCGTGCCTCTCGCCCCTCCCATCGCGCGCGCTGGTGCTAGTGGTGCTCACTCCGCCCGTCGTGCACGCTACCTGCCAGGGAGATCAAAGCTCGGTGCTAGTGGCGGTGGTGCTCGCGCGCGCCGCTGGTGCTGGATGCTAGTGGTGCTCGCGCGTCGCCACTCGCCCCCAGCTCCCACCCCAACGATCGGAATTGACTGGCACAGGCGCTCCCCCTACTCTATGTTGCAAATATATGTTTCAAGTGTTTCAGACATTTTAGAGATATGTTGCAGTTATTTCATATGGATGTTGCAAAAGTACAACGGGGATGCTGCACATGTTGTAAGTGTTTTAGAGACATGTTACAAGAGTTTGTTCAAAATGTTTCATCTGTTCCGAACGTATGTTGCAATCGTTTTGATTTGGATGTTGTATATGTTTCACACATATGTTCCAAATGTTTCATCTGTTCTAGTCTTCCGTTGTAGCAAGTGTTTTCATGTTGCAAGTTGCAAGTGTTCTATCTGGACGTTGAATATATTTTCACACGTATGTCGCAAATTAATGTTCCAGATGTTTCATCTAGACATATATTGCATTTAAGTGTTTCATGTTGCACATGTTTAATGCTATTCGGAGGTCAAGGGGCGGGGGGAAGTGATGGTGGCACGACACGGACGTCAGGGAATGGGGGTAAATTTCTTGGTGATCGATGGTTTGGTCCGTGAGGAGAAAGACGTTAAATTTCCACTTAGTAAATATGTGTTTGAGGAATAAGATAACATGCTGGGTTGCTTTAAGTGCTTGTTTAAACTAGAGAAAGGCTGTACTTGATTTAGCCTCATAACATATTCTTTTACACTTGCGGAGTCTATTTTGATGTACTCATCCTTTTCTTTATCAAATACTAGATAAATGATTTTTCGACATGGGCAAATTCAATTTCTAGGGATGGTTTTAGAAACCGACACTATGTTGTTGATTGTAAAATAGTTTATTTTTAATGGAGAACTGACGATCGATCCTAAAAAATACATAAGTGACCCGCTCTTAGATATGCATATCTAGAATTGGTCAGCTTAAGCAACCGACCTTGAAAATGGTTCTAAAAAAAAACACGAGCCTGCCATTGCTGCGTCTGACCAGCTCAATGGCACGACGCGGTTGTGTTGCCATGCAAGTCCGCCGGTGTCATGGCGTGCCGGGCCATTGCCATGCTGACGCGTCAGCTCGCGCCATTGTGGCACCACGCCAGCCTACGCTGCCACACCATTGCCGCACCAGCTAGCCTGCTCCGCCACTGGCTCATCCGTGCTTGGCCAGCTTGCCTATGCCCGATCGTTGCCGTGTGATGCCACCGGCGCTGTTTGGTTCGCCTGGTTGGGTAGCTATCCCTTAGCTAGGCTTTCTAGAACCAACTTAAATTTGTTTAGGGTCATGTTTAGTTGCCCCAAACTCAGGAATTTGGAAGCCAAGTATCTGAAAAGAGCAAGGATAGTAACCCACATCAAACTTCGCTAAATATAATGCCAAGTGTTAAATGTTGACTAAATAAAAACTAATTTATGGGTGCATGTTTTTGGTTGTACTTTACGAGACGAACGTTTTAAGTCTAATTAGTCAACGATAGGACAATTATTACCAAATAAAAACAAAATGTTACAGTACGCAAAAGTGCCGCTATCGTACCTAGAATTCCGGCGGCGCCGAATCCGGGGCCCAACTAAACGCGGCCTAGGTGGCTGTACAAGCCTCTAGTCAGGCCCAGGAAGCCAAGTAGGGGGCTTAGCGAGGCCAGCAAAGAACGCGGCTACTCGTTTTTCTCTGGCCAGGCCCGAGCTAAGGTTCGGTTCACCTCCGGTCGCTTCGTCACCCCCGCGTAACCATCGTACGCCGCCGCACCTGCACCTCCTCCGCCACTCGAACTCGCGCGCCGCTACTCCTCCACGACATCCACGCTCACGCGCCGCTCCTCCAGCTCCTCCTCGCTCGCGGCGAGGGTCGCCGGGTCGCTCGCGGCGGGGTCGCACGGCAGGAACCGCCGAGCCGCACGTGTGGCAGGGGCCCCGAATCTCGTCGACGAAGTCCTGGCACGCGGTGGCAGAGTTATTGGAGCTTGCAGCCTGATTTTGAACCGGCGTAGATAGAGTCGGTAGCGGAGAGCATCCTCGGCGTCCTCCGTCGCCGGTGAGCAGAGGCGAGCGGGGCCGAGTCGAGCGAGCCCGGCCGCACCGGCGCGCCGTGCTCGCCGTGTGGCTCCCGTACGAGCGGCGCCCGCGAGCTCCTCACCCTCGGCAGCATTTGTTTTCTTGAGCAAGGAGGTGGAGGGAAGGAAAGACATGGAAGAGGAATCCGGCGCAGCTTCAAGGTACTACTGCCACATGTGCTCGCTGATCATACGGCCCGAGCTGTGCATCGAAGAGGTGAAGTGCCCTCACTGCCACACCGGCTTCGTGGAGGAGATGGCGGGCAACCGGCGAGGCAGCAGCGACAAGAACATCCGAGGCCGTGCTGCCGGCGAGCCGAGCGTCAACGCGTCGGACGCGGCGCTGGAGCGCGAGTTTCTCTATGGGCGCCTATCCTCATGGACTTCATCGCCGCCTCGTCCGGCCGTCACGGCCTCAGTGCACAGGTGGCTTGAATCCTTGCTCTCCTCCGATTCGTGCATGTCCCGTCGCCCGGAATCAGCCACGCCGGCCATCTCCCCTGATCTGATTTGCAAAGCAGTGGCGCTCAACACTTGTTCCATGAATTGCCTCAAGGGTGATGAAGTTACTTAAAGAAGAGGTAACATTACGAAGCTAAACCACCCAACCAAACAAACTTACTCCGATGCTAACCATGCTAGATAGTATAGGCAACCTAATAAGTTCCTCTTAACTTATTTCCTAGCCAGGCTAATAGGAAACCGTATAACCACGTAGACCCATAAGGTCCTGTCATGCCTGGCTAGCTAGCTCGTCTACGCCGCGCTTGGCTAACTCGCGCCTAAGAATGGCAATGGCCCCCGATACCTG